TTACCTATTATGATGTCGCATGTTTCTTAAGTCCTAATGTTTATCTCGTTACTATTATTAGATTGGTCGTCATGTTTCTTAAGTCCTAATATTTATCTGTGTACATTATAGATGTCGCATGTTTCTTAAGCCTATATTTATCTCGTACATTATAGATGTCGCATGTTTCTTAAGCCTATGTTTATCTCGTACATTATAGATGTCGCATGTTTCTTAAGCCTATATTTATCTCGTACATTATAGATGTCGCATGTTTCTTAAGCCTATATTTATCTCGTACATTATAGATGTCGCATGTTTCTTAAGCCTATATTTATCTCGTATACTCGATCTTTACGAGTGTTTTCACCATTTTCCCACTCGTCTATCTGGACGAATATATTTTTCTCTCTGTCTCTCGATTAGAAAATAAAAGTTCCTAAAGTACCGTATAGAAATATTATATGATATTGAAACCAATAAGGGCCTAATACAGAGAAGAGAATCAAAATGTTAGTAAGAATGTTATTGACTTATGAATACTCACACACAGAAATTAAATTAATTGACCGTTTTGATGACCCATACCTATAGAACACCGTTAAGTTGGCGAGTTTTGTACTTTTTTCTGCTTAATACAATATGAAATTACTTCTTCGACGCAACGCTGTTCTTTTGACTAGTTTTATTTCACTTTAAACGTGTTAGTTCTGTAATGGACAAGACTTCTCTTGCTTTCAATATTCGAACTTAATTAAAACTAGTTGAATCTTGTTTAAAAAATGATGTTTCCATAGTAACAGATTCTGTTTTCTAAGATGTTCATCAACCTCACAAGAATAAACACATTATATTATCTATCTTTAATGTTCCAGGTTCACTTCCCAGCTAACTTGCATAATTTTGAATGATGTTACTTTTCAGTTGTAGTGACTTTCACACACACACACAAATATATATACACGTTTTATGTTTGAATGATGTTACTTTTCAGTTGTAGTGACTTTCACACACACACACAAATATATATACACGTTTTATGTTTGAATGATGTTACTTTTCAGTTGTAGTGACTTTCACACACACACACAGATATATATACACGTTTTATGCTTGTAACTCTGAATGATGTTACTTTTCAGTTATAATGACTTTCACACACACACACAGATATATATACACGTTTTATGTTGTAGTGACTTTCAGTTGTAGTGACTTTCACACACACACACAAATATATATACACGTTTTATGTAACTCAACATATCGTTTATTTTTTTCCAATATTCTGTCTCGTTCCTTGCGTCTGTCAATGCACTCGTGTTAGAGACAAGGTCATTTACTAGAATTAGTTTATGCTTTGAAGTCAGCCAGAGAGAGTTGCGTGATCACGAACGACAAGAACAGTCCTTTCTCACTCTTCTTCCGAGTTATTACGTCCAACAGATAAATTGTCAGTGAACGGTAAACGTCAAATGCAAGCGGTTAACCAAATAAAGGAAAAGCAGTGAGATCAGTGTTCTTGACATCAATGTTTGTATAGGGAAATAAACATGTTAAGTCAATTTGGTTAAAATAGGCAATGTTCTCGTGAAAAAAAAAGCTGTAAACCGTAATGTTTACTTTCTGCTACATTCCTATGTAAGTCTTTCAAGAGATTAATCACACCTTTTTCATTATTCTGTGATTTTGGTCATAAATTGCAAAAAAAAAAGAAAGAAAGAAGAAAAGATTAATGCTTCCAGAGTTCTTCAACTAAACTTCCAAATGTGACTTTAAAGGTTAGATTTATTCGTACTAGTTAAAGTGTGGAAAGACTCCTACAATATACAGTTTAATAACAAGTTACTATAAACAAGAATGTTCCGTATTCTATTAGTAAAATTGTGGACGATATATTGGTTTATCGCGACAAAAAAGAGTGATTCTAAATCATATTATTTCTTATTGTCAAAAAACGAGCTCAAATGTTTATGATTCGCGAGTATTTCGTCAGCACGTCCACAACAATCCTGCAGACAGTATGTTCAAAGGAGCTTCGTATCTTATGGCATCTTAACTAGAGGAATTTATGGTTATTATAGTGTAAATTTTTTGTAAGCCTTTAATTTAAAGTTCAAGGGCGACTTAAGAAACTATGAAACCGATTTTCACAAAACTGTGCTGTGATTAAGCGACTTCTCGCTATTAGCTTCACAGAAGTGAAACGAACGTATTCTGTATATTTATTTAATGATTTGACATGCCATATTTCATAATGTAACAAGCGTAAAACTTTACACACGTTTTACAAATTGTTATTATTTTCACAGTAGCCAAGTAGCGCCAGTAGCTCTCTCTGAATGGTCGTCTGGTGGCTCAATAGTAAGATTGAGGATTTATAATGCTAACATTCGGAGTTCAATACTTGCGATGAGCACAGCGCAGGTTGTGTACTGTATGCTTCATAATAAATTGATTGTTGCCGACTCACATTTAGTTTCTGGAACTGTCGTAACAACCCCAGGATGCCACATGAACTTTCGCAACAGCCCCAGGATGCCACATGAACTTTCGTAACAGCCCCAGGATGCCACATGAAATTTCGAACAACCCCAGGATGCCACATGAACTTTCGTAACAGCCCACGATGTCACATGAAATTTCGTGACAGCCCCAGGATGCCACATGAACTTTAGTAACAGATCCACGATGTCACATTAACTTTCGTAAGATCCCCAGGATGCCACATGAACTTTCGTAACAGCCCCACGATGTCACACGAACTTTCGTAACAGCCCCAAGATGCCAAATAACTAAATTCCGCCTCCAAATGCTAGTTTCAAGCCAGTGTTTTTGTACTGAGCTTCTGTCAGGACATAGCATTAAAGGAAGCTAATGTTATCCTTTGACACACTGACTTTTTATTTGTACTCAATTTTGTTTTCCGTCTTACTGTTTTTTTCTCGTAAAGTAGGTTTTTTTCGTCTAACTATTTTTCGTATAAACTAGATTTTTTTTCTTCTAATCTAGTTTTTTACTGTTACTTTTTCATGTAAGCTAGATTTTTTGTCTTGTTTTTTTTCGTGTAATCAACATTTTGACTGAAAGAAATTTTCAAAGATTACAAAGTCATTCTTGTGTTTGAGAAATATTTTGATATATGACTGTTTACTGTCATCCGTTCCCAATTTTGTTATAGTAACCATAATGCTGAGAATGGAATAAAATCGATGATTTTTATTTCGGGTTCTTTTCCACGAACTCAAAACTGCCTAGAACGTTTCATTAAATCAGGCTACATCGCTCAAATAACAATATACACTGAAATACAGCCATCACGCAGACAAAACGCGGATAATATATTACTTAATAACACGCTTTTACAAAAACACACGAAAAAGAAAGCTGTGATCAGCACGCTAAGCATGTTATTAACCAATCGTATAGTCCACTTTAAATTATGATGTATATGAAACTGCAGGTAAAAAACAAAGACCATTTTATAAAAAACAATACATTGACGTTATGTACAGAATATTTTCCTCACGTGACACTGTCGATCTAGCTAGATGAAGTAGATGGGGTAAAAACTACAGTTGTCATGTTTTTGAGTGTGTGTATTTTTTTTGGTTGTCCAATGTGCGATGACGTCACAAAATCGGATGAGTGGGGGGTAGATAAATATGAATTCTAGATCCAGTTAAAAAACAAGGTTAGATCAAATATTTTTGTTTGTCATGGATTGTAAAGAACGATGTATAATATCATTTTTATAAAACCCCATAGGGAGTACTTCTATCAGGTAACAACTGATTGAGAACACAACAATCGCAAAAGTCAATTTATTTACCATCTATCACTAAAACAGATTATACGAAACTGGTACGGATTAGAAAGTATTTATTTTTTAACCTGGAAAAGCTTTGTTTGTCGTAAAACGTACACAGTCATAATTTTATTCTCATCATTTTATTATATACTTGGTAATTCTTTATTTACAATGTTTATATACAGAGGAATTATCATATGTTTAAAACATACAATTAACATGGCACTGGCAGATATGAAATGAGTTGGTTAATTCTCTTTCTGTTGGCTTTTTAGGTTTAAACTTGCTAACTTCGTACTCAGTAGTAGCTCAATAATAACGTCTCTCAAATGCTACGTCTGGCATTGTGGTTAGGGCAGTCGACTCGTAGCTTCGAATCCCATCATCAAACATGCTCGCCTTTTCAGCGGCAGGGGAGTTGTAATATGACGGTCAATTACACTTTTCGTTGGTAAAGAAAGGATAGCCAAAGAGTTGGCGGTGGGTAGTGTTGACCAGCTGCCTTCCTTCTAATCTATGCCTATCACTTCTGAATTAGGGATGACTTGCGCAGATAAGGCTCGAGAGCTTTGTGCGAAATCCAACAAACTAAAAACTGAAATGCTAGATCAAAATTACAAAGTGTTATATATATATAATAGACAAAACTGGTTAAGATACATTACATATACATTCAGAACAAGACCCAAGCCAATTTCTCAAGTAACCCAAGAAGGCAATAATACATGTGTAAAGTGGAAGGCGATTTTAAGGTCTTTAAAGAATGTGATTGCACATTTTGAAAACTATCAACAATCAGTAAAATTATTATTCTCACACAGCTAAAGGAAACATATCCTGAGTCTCTTGGGCATTAGGTTTGTAATAGACAGGTTCTTGTTGATATTTTCCACTCCCAAACACTTTAAGTCTCAAAATATTTTACATTTCCTTGCTTTTTTTATTTAAATGTTTATCACAAAACGTGAAGATTATCGCAAGATCTGGACTTTAGGACAGCCTTCTCCAAAATTCTCTTCACAAAAACTTTCGTTTTAGACGTGGAACAGAATGAGAAAAATCCTGGGACCATTAAGGTATCTGATTCTCGTTGTTTCTTTAGTCTCTCCCGATGTTGGCATTTCAGTCGTATCTGGCTTAAGATTCCTACCAGGAGTTCGTCAACATGGTGATTTATTCCAGTTGATGTCTCAATAAACTTCCAAGTATGATCGTTTGCTAAAGCTCGGCCCTCTACGAAAATAAAAAGTATATATATATATAAATTATTGAATACCATGAAAAAATATCGACATTCCACCTTTCCCCCCACCGCTATTGAAAATATTATTATTTAAGTTTTGGTACAAAATATTAGATTTTTCATCTTGGAGATCGTAATTCATTTATAGTTATACAGGAAATATTGGAGAAAGTGGGGTAAGACGGCCACCTTAACTTTAAATGCAGTTTTCACCAATTGATAAGAATGTCATGAAAAAGCAAAAGGTTTTAAAATGAACTCTGATTTATTATGTATGTAATTTCTCGTTAAAACGAAGACTGGACATAATCCTTATTTATATATTTTTAAAAATTACTTTTTGTGGTTGAGGCCATTTTACCTATAAGGTTGGATAAAACGGACTCCCAATATGGAGTAAAATTGTCACCACCTAACTCCTAACAACTGCAATTTAAAAAAAAATGCTGCAGTTAGCAACTGCTTTTAAATCTATAAAAATCATCATTTAGATGCTTCCTACAGAGATGAGAAAGGCTGTGTGCCATGCACAAGTTGCACATTATCGAGGGCAATAGCGTAAAAGAACACAAAAGTGTGGGACAATGATGTACATTGCAGGCGAAGTCTATGCAAACATATAAGTTAGTGGTGTGGGGAAAAACGGCGTGTTAAAACAATCAGTGTGAAAATTATATCTCAGGTTAGCAAAATGTAGATTTTTCATGTCCCGTATAATCTACGCAAACATCTACAAATCGCTTTATAAAAGTGGGGATGAAATAGGCGCTTTTTCACTTTTTTTTGCTTTAAATACTAAATTAAACCAACTTCACGTGATAGTTTACGCATTGTAATGTATAACACATAAAGTTGACCGCTGATCCGTAACTTATGGAATATTACATCACAATAAAACTAATATTAGTTTTAGTCACAATTCTTTTGTACTGGCCCTGTAATGATTTCTAGTAAGACGCGTGTACATTGGAATTTAAACAACACACTATGTGTTACGCGTTTCTACTAATGAGGCCCTTCGCTGAAACAAAGAACTTATTAGGTCCGCTTGATTTTCAACACATAGTAGGCTCAAATAATAAATCGGTCTCTAATATGAGCAGGGGCAGAACCTTAATTTCTGTTTAGCGCGTAACTAGTTAAAGCTATTACTGCTCAGGCTCGTACACAGAATGTTTGAAAGGGGTTCTAATTTGTTAGATCAAAAGCCAACACATATAGTGCGAAGCACAGTCAGCATGCAAAACATGCTAATACTATGGAGGTCTGTTGCATGCCCCCCCCCCCAGAAAATTTATAAAAGATAAGTGCTATAAGATTAAATCCGGAAGCAATTTTGCGTAAAATATAGCATAAGCAATTGCATGGCTATTTACATAAAGTGCGGGAGAGCTAGACTTAAATTTGCATAAATATGTATGTTTCTATATAGTAAACTATTTAAAGCTCTTGACACAGCTATGATAACCAACAGTGTAACGAACATTTGTATATACTTTTGACTTGTTTTAATATATCATTATATATCATGTGGACTGTATTGTTTGTTTATTGTTGAAATTTATCGCCAGCAAGTCACAGACACCTACTGTAAAGAATACTGCCTACAAAACATGACAGTAGCAATACGTCTTCGGACTTGCAATTATTAAGTGTCAACAGAAGCCAAAAAATGATATTGCTTCATCAGAAGAATGTAGACTACGTAGAAAACGTTAAATACCATAAGCAGCTGCGCTATAACTATATAAGAATAAACAATTGTAAGAATTATTTAAGTTGTTTTCTAAAAGTTTATAACGATTAGCTTAAATAAACAGCAAAAACTAATTTTATTATCATTTTAAACATGATGTACTTGCGCACTTGTTAATTGTACATCATCTCTCTTTCTTTCAAATAAATAACGTGATTTTCATTTGTCAGGCCCCCGGTGGGACAGCAGTATGTTTTCGGATTTACAACGCTAAAATTGGGATTTCGATTCCCCTCGATGGGCACAGCAGATAGCTTGATTTGACTTTGCTATAATAAAAACATACAAACACACTTTATTTGTTAGATTGCCTCATCAGCTAATTCTTCTTGTAGGTACGTACACAGCATGGTCACAAGTAAATAGACACCACCTTTTCAGAAAAAAATTAATTTTTTCAGTCATATT